CACACACACACACACACACAAACACACACACACACACACACACAATCAGAACATTGAGTTCTGTCTCCAAATGTTATGCAAACTTTGTTGTGCCCTATTAGCCCTTGTATCCGGGTCATGTTGGGTCGTCCCGCATCAAAGGAAGAGGAAAATAATTCAGAGGAGGAACGGAGGCTCTCTTCCATGACCTGCTGGGGACAATTATAAGCAGACGTTGGCAGATAATTACTGTGATAGCAGATATATCTTGGTACTGTTATCCAGTGTCATGAAGAACACAAACAATTTTCAAAAACATGACCCCTTGCAGCCGGAGCTACATTTTATATCATTGTTTTTTAACTGTAAGACTCACATTGAAAATGTTTTCCAGCCAAATGTCTGTATCAGTACTGGCCCCCAACTACATTCATGCATTGAGCTCCTTACAATGAGTATTTGGGAAAGTGTTGAATACCCCCACACATCTATCATTTAACTGAAATATCTGAGAGTGACAGTGGACACCATCACTGTACACATTACAGTGCAGAAAAAAAGTGGTGTTACTTCATCTGACATTCATCAACATGTTCTAAACTATTGGTTGGTGACTCATTTAACAAGCATTCAGCTGAAATGAGTGAAACTTGACATCCAAGTCAAATGTTTAAAGTCAAGTGTTTGAAAGTGGTCTGATCTCATTTTTATAATCAATATCCTTGTTATGTTCCTCATGTTTGTTTTTTTTAAATATCAGTGGAATTTTCCATTGTCTGCTTGGGGGAAACTGCTGCAGCGGTCACTTTCGTATGACTATGAAAAGTGCCTTTCTTTGACCTTTCAGAGCCAGAACAGCTCAAGAGTAAACGTTGTCTTCATTGTTCCCTTCCTCCCTGCTTTTTATCAAGTCCGTGTGACATTTTTCTTTGTCTGTGCTTGTGTATTTTCTTTTCTACTTTTTCTTTTTTCCTGAGCGTGTTTTTCTTGGAAGAAGACTAATGGCAAGTGTGAGGAAGGTTACCTTTGAACCTGACAAGAACAGCTCTCCACTGTAGTGTGCACATGCAGATCCCTTCATGTGCGTGTTTGTTTATGTTCCTGAGTGGACACAAATGTGTTTCAATTTGCCTGTGTGTCTGCGGGGGTGTATGTGCATATCTGTATCAGTGCAAGCACACGTGTGTGGGTGTGTTTGTGTGAGCCCGAGCAGTCGCAGTGCAGGGTCTGGAAAAGTGTAGTGTGTTAGATTAATTGAGCATGGCAGAATTATGACAGCTGTTTACACTAGGAGCCCTACGAGCATTTTAGCACACCTTTTAGCCTTGAGTGCATTAGCTGACAGATGGAAGGCTTTTTCCTTCCAGTGTAGTGGAAAGCCTGAAAACGTCATCCACCAAAAGTCTGACCTTGATGCTGAACCCAACCCTCACTCTTTGAACATTAGTCCATTGAAATACCAAGTTAATGAATGCATACTGCAGTGTTCATCTAATTAGAAGCAGGTCAAAGTTAGCAAGATGTCCATGCAGCCACCATTAGCCAGCCCCTTATTGCAGGCTTAGGAAGTCTAATCGATGGGGAACAAAGGCATCTGAAGTGGACAAGTACATTCAGGCAAAGATGTGACCATCACTATGATAATCAGCTTATCATTTCAGGCTGTACTAAAGTTAGCAGAGATGAATTAAAAAGGGCATTTGCAGAAATTGAATGCAGATGACAGGAGCGACTGTAAAGGACACTCCATATCTGCGTTATATGAGCTGCATGTGCAGGTCACAGATTGAGTGCCTCTTAGCAGATAGATATAAGTGCCAGAAAGTGAGATCCAAATATTAACAAATCCCAGGGATGTATTCTTGTGACAGGAGTCCAGCTCTCACCTGGGAGCATCAAGAAGTCCACATGCTGAGATTGACTACGTGACGCATGTCACAGCGCTCTGAACCTTAGCACCCTTTGAGTGGACTGTGTGGATTTATGCAGCACAGTCACGAAACTACATGAACAAACACACACATGCACATGCACAGACATGAAGTTGTGTGCCTGCACATGTACCTCAACAAGCGCTAAACAAACAAACAGTTAGCATTCAGAGATCCCCTAAGAAGTGAAAACACATTACCATGCTGAAGCCGGCATGCAGGGTCCAAGTGAAACAGGAAAAAGGTGTTTTGGTGCCTCTACAAAAACAAGGCCGGAGCAGAAAACTAGCCGTCTCTGGCTACCCTACTGGCAAGGGACATTTGCAAGTAACTTTAAATGCACTCAGTGTTCACAAAAAGCCTACACCAAGATATTTCCATGGGGTCTCCCTTAGCTAAACATGCACTTCAACCCAATTTCCAGGATAACATTCCCTTAGATAGAAAAAAATGATATCATATTAATGCATTTCTTGCTCTCTAACCCCAACTATATATTCAGGCTCCCTCTTGTGATGCATTATCTAAAGTGGTCAAATGATATGCACTAAAAACTGGGATAGTGGGCAATGAATATGCATAATTAGCATTAAGGGTTACATGCATGTGACATGTGCAGACTCCAAAAACAATCTTGTATAAATTCAAGATGTGGATGGAAAATGTTCACTCTCTTACACTGGTTAATTTTCTCATATGTTCATATTCACGTATTTGTCCATGGCCTGCACATGTTAATCTACTTTTTTTCATTCTCTCTGCAGGCCTATACGACAAATGTTTCTATGCCTCCAGTGACCGTGGATGGCTGCTTGGTATCCAGGCAGTCAGTGAACATGGGAACCGTGATCCTCGCTTCTTCTTCTCCCTTAAGACTGACCGTGCCCACAAAGTGACCTCCATCCATTCTAATGCTCGCTACATACCGAACCAATGGGCCCATGTGGCAGTCACATATGACTGCGTGTACATGAAGCTCTTCGTCAATGGCGCCCAAGTGGCTGTCAGTCGGGAGCAATCGGGCGATGTCTTTAGTCATTTGACCAAAAAGTGCAAAGTCCTGATGATTGGGGGAAATGCACTCAATCATAATTACAGGGGAGCAGTGGAAAGGGTGGGTCTATGGAGGCAGGCCCGGGGGCAGAGGCAGATTATCAGAGATATGCAGGGCCACGACGACCTACAAGATCTACCTCAGCTGGTCATCCGAGAAACATTTGAGCACCCGGGCCGAAAATGGCTGACTGTAAAAGACGGTAGCTTTCCTCAGCCGGAGCAAGGAGGTACTGCTCGATTAGGGCTTCTGGGTGGCAGTGGAGTTGGAAATGCAGAAGGACTATTGGACACAACGCTAGATCCTCCAACTTGTGGTCAAACTGTCTGCGACAATGTTGAGGTCATCAAAAACTACAACCACCTTTGGACATTCCGTCGGCCCAAGAAAGTGCGATATCGTGTCATAAATATATGGGACGATGCACAGATGAGGCCGACTGTATCTGACCACCAGATCAACCTGCAGCACCAGCAGCTAAATGATGCCTTCAGCCCCTACAACATCACCTGGGAGCTCAGCATTCACAATGTGACCAACTCCTCCCTTCGCAACCGGCTGATTCTAGCTAACTGTGATATCAGCAAAGTTGGCGATGATGCGTGTGACCCAGAATGCAACCATCCGCTGACAGGGTATGACGCGGGTGACTGCATGTCTGGACACTGGAGCCGTTGCCCTGAGCACAAACAGGGGAATGGTGTATGTGACCCTGAATGTAACTGGGAAAACTTCTTGTATGACCTTGGCGACTGCTGTAATCCAAATGTGACAGATGTGACCAAGACATGCTTTAACCGCTCCTCTCCACACAAGTAAGATTCCTTCCTTCATTTGTTTTGCATGTTATCGTCAAAAATGCTTAAACACGTAGTAAATCTTTTTTCTTTATATGATACATTTTCTTCATCGACATTACTGAATAATTTAGGTTAAACTAAACCTACATGTTGGACTTGCATGCCTGGAGTAAATCAAACAACAAATCTTTCCATACATGCGTCCCTGAGGAGAGGTTTTAAAGTCTAGTCCTACTGTTTCCTGACCATTTCAGGCTGAGGCTGAGTGTAACTTAACCCCCAGCCTGTGTGGCCTGGGAAATCCTCTGGGGGCAGCTAGTCCAATCTAGCCTTGGCCTGGTTCAATCAGTGTTCCACACATAAGCAGTGCAAAAACAAATGCAACTGGGGCGTCTTTCCTGGTAGCAAATGCACCCGCCAGATTGCTAATTTTGTGTCCATTTTTCAACATCTCTCTCCACCTTTTTCTTTTCTGTGTCTCCTATGTCCAGTGGTCCTTATTTAGTTGGCTTGATTAGAGAAGGGAGTTGGTTTGGAAAGAGTGACGCTGTAAACAGAGTGTAAGGGCAATTAGAGGTCAAAATCCAATACGGCTTTAGCTTGTAGCAATGGAAATCATTTCAAAGACATACCTCTCTTTCCAGGAAACCACCGACAGACATGTTTCCTGGGGAGGAAGGTATGGGCCCAAAAAACGTGGCGGCCTGAAAGAAATTCACAGGAAAAACAGTGAAGAATGTTCACTTTACTTCCACGTGAGCACAAGTTTCAGAGACTCTCCTAGGTGTAATGTACATGAAGCGAGGTATTATGTGGTTTCATAGAGCTACTTAAGGATAATACAGAGGTCCTCATGAATGCATGCAAATTCTTGATTTTGTGGTAATCTTATTGTGGCTTGTAGATGATGAGTAAAGGCTGGCAAGAAGAATAAATCTCTGGAATTTGCTGTAATACGGTTCATGCCAGACCTCCAATTGCAGGATTGTTTATTTCTTGGTACACTGAAACTCAACACAGTAGACTCAGACATTTTTGTGGACAACGCAGGGGGTATTTACGGTTATGGCAGAAAAAGAGGCAAAAATGACAGAAATGAATTTGTTTGCCAGTGTTTCCTGCCACTGTCATGCGGGGACAAGCGAACGGGAGGAAAACTAGTAGGCCTGGTGTGTGGGATTGTTTGGGTCTCTCTGATAGCATGAGTCTAGGAAACTAAGCTGTTTTCAATCATAGTTACGCTGGAAGCACTGTCTGTCTGGCACTAACCCGTTGTTTAAAATGACCGCTAAATAGCTAAATAATGACATCTGATTAACAACATCAGAGGGGGAAAGCAGGTGGGATTGCAGTTGCTTCCATCTCTCAATTCCCACTTAGTCATCATTAGAAGCTCATTCATCAAGTGGTGGGCAAAACAGTCTATTCAGACATCAGCTATTGGCAAAACACTTGCCGCTACAATGTTCAAATTTCCCTATGGGCATTTGAAAGATGGGCTTGTGAAAGGAAGGATACCAGCAAAGAGACAGGCAGAAAGAGGACAGGCAAATTTTCACTGTAAAGAAATAGATATAATCTCCTCAAGTGGTTGCTTATTATGCTTTGATTATGGTATGTCCAGGGAGACTCGCAGAGAGCTGCACTACAAACAGTTTGACATTCCTCCTTAATTATGGAATTCTGGATGAACAATGTACTGTGTATGTAGAGGAACAATAGTTTTGAGGTCCTGCATTTATTTTCGCAGCGTTTACGTCTGTTAGCACTTACGTGTAGTGTGTTTAAAAAAAAAAAAAAAAGAATCTGGCTAGCACAGGACACAGGCAGACTCTGGGGTCCTGCAACAGTCTTTCCTCTGAAAATACTGTTGTTAATTACCCCACGTCTCTCAGACATGTGTCTGAAGGAAATATTTACCCCCACCAAGGAGGTTATGTTTTCACCCCTCTCTGTTTGTTTGTTTGTAAGCAAGATTACACAAAAATTACCAAGCCAATTACTTCGAAACTTGGTGGAAGGATGTGGTATAGGTCAGGAAGGAAGCCATTGAATTTTGGTGCTAAACTGGATCAGGGGGTGCATCCAGGACCTTTTTTAATCCCTTTCTTTAACATTGCAAAGCAGGGCGTCCATGCATCTTGATGAAACACAACTTTAGGGGACTGATATCTATGAGCATTGTACCTTGGTGGAAGTATACCCTCTACTGAGTACTTAATCATCTTTTGTTTATTGTGTTTTCTGAGCCCTTGTTTTTTTGACATTTGACATTTTTTGGTAGTATCTGATGTTGTCTGACAGCATGAGGGATTTAAGGACATCTGAAATTGTTGCTGTGATTTAAACAGTGTTAAATTTACAGTATATGTACGGAAAACAAATGTGAGATGATCAAGTGTGTGTATTCCTGTCCATCACAGATCAAGATAACATGCATAACTGGAAACATCCAATAATATCAAAACTCATCATAGTCAGATTCATTTTTTTCTCAAAGTGGAATGTTTTTCTCCCAATTTTAGTCGAGACTGACTTGGCAAGGCAGATATTAGGTCCATCTCAGCCTCAATATGTTTTGGGGAAATGAAGTTCTGGCCTGGCTCTGTCAGGGGCTAATAGGTCATCCATTTTCCCTTGGCCTCTGTCTCTCTCCCCCCTCCTAAGTCAATACCTCTCAACGTGGCAGGTTAATGGATGGACCACCCTTTCTCTTTCCGTCACTCCCTCTCCCTGCTGTATTCTAGCTCAGAGCTGCGAGCTAATCTCCAGGGCCCTTGACTTGGGTGTTTTACAATTGGTAGTCTAAACCTTAAGCCCCCGTCCCATAAAACATAATTGAGTGCTTGGGCGTAAATACCAGGACTTTGCACTTCCCCTTTAAAGCCATAGCACACTTATAAAAGCACCTGTTGTTGAGGTTTCACCTGCGCTCTCATGGGCACTGATTGAAGACTTTCTGCATCGTTATGGGACTGCAGGAGGGGTTTTACGTGGAACGCATTACGCAGGCAGAGGAGTTGCATCTGGTGGTCTATTGAAAGTATGACACACAGGGGAATTGGGTTGATAATGACATGGCAAGGTAATTGTGGTTCAGGAGTCAAGGAGGGCACTGATAAAGGGGTTCGCAAATCTGTCAGGACTGAGAGTGTTCTCCCAGATAGGAATTGGGAGAGGTGGGGGGTGGGTTTGGATCATCCCTTCACCCACTCCATATGCCTCTAAATCCTGCTTTCTCACCAACCGGAGCCTTCACGGCAGGGTCTCTGGAATCTGAGCATTGACACAAATCACATGCATGTTTCATGCGTGCAAGGGATGAAAAAAAAAATCTGAGTAAGTTGGGAGGTTAAAGAAGTGAGAGTGGGTAATAAAGGCGGAGATGAATGATGGGTTTAAGGGCTGTGGTGCTGACGGACTCGATGACAGGGAAGCTGAGGGGCCCCCTCCAATTTTAAAAATGTTCTTGGCCGTGAGACCGTCACTGCCATGCCAGCTTACCCCAGTTTTCACACTACGCTGCCCCACACATATGTATACAAGGGAAATTTATGGAATTATATGAATTATATTTGGGTGTAAATGGATGAAGTCATAATCCCCTATTTAATATGTGCCTGAAACAAAAGAATTAACACAGCAGTTCGAGCCACCTCACACACTCCTGGATCTACCTGCAACAAAGATGCCCTGCAGTGATGCTTTCAATTTGGCGCTGGATAGTCTGCACTCATCTTACCTTTCTAGCACTCAATTTCTCACTCTCTCTCTCTCTTTCTTTTTCTTTGCAAGTTCTTTTCCCAGGAAAAAAGTGATGTAGTTACATCCATGGAAAATCTTGTCCTTCCCAAGTGGCTCATCTTTGCTGAAAAAAAAAGAATGTATGATGAGGGGCTAGAGCGGGAACCAGGGGCTATGGGATGGAGAAATAGTTGAGGGGTGTGAGAGACATAGAACACTGGGGGCGGGGTAAAGCAGGGTAAGAGGTTAATGGAGAGGAGGTTTGAGTAAGACACGCTCGGACAGTTACAAAAGGCCCAAATTGCTCTGAGTACAAACCCCCAACATCTGACAGTGGCAGCAAACCCAAGCCTTCACCAATGTCATCATTACACAGTAGTGGTGTAACAGTACACACAATATAATGGTTCAGTACGTGAGGTCACAGCTCTGTATGTTATTGGTACAGAGAAAACAAGAAAAACAAAACATTAAACTGCTTATTTTTTAAAGAAAAATGTAAACACTTGTTTACTTAACAGATCGCGCATGTCATTCTGAGTCTGTAATACAGACTGGCTGCAGCCTCCTAATAAAGTACTTTGACAAAAGTAAAAAATAAATTATTGCATGACTTTAACACCGCAAAAGAGTATGGCCCCGGCTTTTGAAAACACCAATGGCATTTATTAATGGAGTGTGGATACCTGGTTGGACTGGGTTCAGGTTCGGTCATGTTAGCTGGACTTTCTATTTGATTTTTTTACGCTTTACACATGCTTGTAAATGAGTAAAACCTCAAGCTTGGGTCGGGTTAGGACACAAAACACAGAATGTCTGTTGGGTTCAGGTCAGGCTCAGTAAGTTTTGTTATTGCTTTCGCCTGGTTTGAATTGTTAGCAAGAGAGATGCTTAAATGTCATGGGGCGCTGGGTTTGCACTGCAGTGGAGGTCCGCGCACACAAAGTTCTGCACGTGCAGCGACTGCAGTCATTCGGTAGACGTGTATGCTGAACCTATACTGGGAATTTTCAATACAGATAAGTATGCTGTTGCACCCCTATTAGACATAGTGTGGAAAAAAATCACACATGTATGCACAAGCAAGTTGTTGCTCCTAACCCCTGTACATCAATGCAGCAGGTGATGCACATTGTGTTTTTGTAACAGAGCCAAGTGCATTAGAATAATTGAACTCAAGATTAGTTAGGTGTTGACCCTTCAGCAGAACTGCTGCTCTTATGCACTGCTGACTCAACCATTTCAGTAACAAACCCCCCTGACACATTCTCTTCCTCACGCATGTCAGAAAACTCTGGACAAATATTTTCTGAGGAAATAATGAAATTCCTGAAATTATTAGGAAGAGGGACCTTATATCATCTGCTCTCCCTGTGTCCTTAGACCTGGCCCCAGTGAGTGCCCTCAGTTGCTCTTGCACTGGTCTGAAAAAAAACCATTCGCTACACTGAACCTTTATTTCCATACTGTATATTTAACGTCTGTTTTGAGGGAACACTGTGTTTTCATTGAGCCGCTCCTTGTCCAACTTGTAATTTGAGGCAGAGGGACTTGTCCAACAAAGGTAGTAGAAATGTTATGAAACATTTCGTGTTGCTGCATATGAGATGTGCATTTGGTGGTTACGTTAGTCGGCCCGTCGCAGCGGGAGAATCATCTCAGTAGAGTAAATTCCCTCAGGGCGCTGCCAGACACCAGGGTTACTGACTTTAAATTGCCTCCTTTAGGCTACGCTGAACATATGCTATGAGACAGATTGGCTTTGCACTCAAATTTCAATATTTTATGCCGACACTTGCTTTTCAAACTATTACCCGAAAAAGGAAAGAGAGCACTTTGGCGCTGCTGGTCATATTTTGGGAGCGTGTTTAATACATTACAAATAGTAGTATGAAATAGATTTTGCAGGTCTGATAAAGTCTAGACTCCAAATGAAATGGTCTATTGATCTAAAATTGATCTCGTCAAATAACAGAAGCAGCTACTGAAATTTTACAATTAAATAAATACTGGCTTATAAAGAGACTAGTTTGAGTTCAGATTCAATTTAAGTTTCATCTTAAATAGAACAGTGTCAGTTTGAAACGATTAAGCACCGTAGTGAAATTCAAGCTTGTCCACAAAAGAAATGAAATGAATTTTTCTCAGTGGAATTCTCCTCCACCTTGTCAACAGCACATGTAGAGTAGAGTAAATATACTTCATTTTGGAGTGGAAGAATAAATATAAATAGCACACTCCAGATTCACGCTCCTCACAGAGATCTTTCTTTGAAATGTTTTTGCTTTTATCGTTATATTTACCCTAGTTCCCTTAAGTGGGACAAATGTTTTATTCAAAAACAGACAAAGCATGACATTTAGTCTTTGAAAATGTTGATCCACAAAGTGAAATTGTGTGAATGTTGTTAAAGGTTGGTAGACTGATTCATTTGAGCAGAAACATTTTGCATCTTTTAAAAAACATGCAACACAAAGATACGACCAATCTGCCTCATTTATGTTTATTTGCAATTAGCGATGTGTAGATGGACGCCATTCACAAAAAAGTGCCATCAGCCTGCAGTGTATTTGTTGTGGTCAGAGAATCCAGTTTGTTTTATAAGTTAGTGCACGTTTAACACAGTGAAATCACGAGTGTACTCCTTTTTTTTGGGAGGAAACTTAATCTTAAAACTTAATGCACTTATAATCTTATGATCCAAGCACATACAAAAATATTAGGCGAGCAAGTGGGTCATGCAAACTAGGTCAAAACATCCAAAGAGGATCTAATTTGTGATAGTAAGGCCAATGTCATGTTTTGTTTTCTGATAAACTCCTGTTTTCCGTATCCATCGTGCGTCTTACACCCAAAGCCTCAGAAAGCCGGAGGAAATGAATAAACTGTCACGTCAGCACATGCAACAGATTATCGACCGCTCTGAGAGATGGCTGCAGCTCACTGATGTCGTTTGCCAGGACCACCAGCCCAGGCTCATGGAGAAACCTTGTTTGATGTGTTCATATAAAATGAATGACAGTTTCACTGCTTGGAAGATATCTCATTGTGTTGAATGATTGCAGTCATTACAGCTGCCGTTAGTGATTCCAGAGCCGAGACAAAGCATAGAGTCATGGGTAAGGAGGCCTCAGAATACCTGAACGACTCACTGAAAAATCAGGCTGACTTTGACGGCTGATCTGAGATTTCATCAGAAAAAATGATGCCTAAAGACGATTTGAAACACAGAGCGAGCAGACCTCTGCTAAGACTGATTGACCACTGTACATCAGATACACACGCACAGAGAAATGTTCTGCCGCTCACATTAACACAATATCCATTCCCTGACAAAGGAATATTTAATACCAAACTGAATAAAGACCACTCCCCTAAACATTTTTTATTTTTAAGCCACAAAATTCGGATCATGTCACAGATCTGCAAAAACAATTCCTGCATCTATCCCCTTAATTGAATCCACCCCAAAAGTGAATCTCTTCCTGCTTGGCCAATACCCCACCCTGCCTTCATGTTTCAAGAAAATTGGTTCTGTAGTTTTTGCGTAATCCTGCAAACAGACTTGGTGGAGGTAATGAAGGAAAAAACTAATCAGAACGAGTGTCATATTTATTTGATGGTAAAATCTTCTCATGGAGCATAAAGCAGAATTGAGTACATTTAGAGCTAATGTGAATATTATAATATGTAATATCATATTTGCATATCAGACGCCCAAGCAGGAGTCACTCACTGTTTATTTCATTCTCATGAAACAAAAGTCATTTTATTACAGTGCAGCTTTTGAGATTATACAATATTAGAATTTCCCAAACTCTCACCACTAAAGCAGATTCATTCCCAGCGGCACCTGTTTGATTCTGGTTTTGTTTGCTGTGACACCTTTAATTGTTTGTTGAAATCAAGAATTACTACGCTCAAGAGAACTGAGACAAGATAACGTGCTGGTTATTGAGTGATTTATCGTCTTCAGATATAAAACATCCGGCATCATTATGTAGACAAAAACATTGTGGCTTAGCTTTAAGTGTCTCCACAAATGAGAACCTAACCCAAAGAGTATTACACGTCCGTAGCTGCATATTTAGGGTATTGAACTGATTACTTGCCTCTGCACTTCTGAGGCAACAACATCAACATCTCGGCTGTAATCTCCCCGCTGTCAAACAAGTGAGCAGGAACCGCAGTGAAACTGAATGGAGTGGGAGGAGATGATTTAATGGGTTAAAATTGTTACCAGCAAACCATTAAAAAGTTCTTTAAGCTTATTTTGCACCATTTATATCTGCTGCACTACGGCTGAGCCAGAGCTTCTAGCCACAATATTATCAAAAAAATCTGTTGGTTGTGTCCAAATGAATGTTGAGATATTCACACTTACAAGATGGTTTGTGGTAAAGTGAACCTTGATTCTAGTCTACAAAAAAAATCATCTTTGGCAGAACAAGCAGAGAACAATGGAGGATTATGGAGTATTGGAGCAATACTGAAGACAAAAAAATCTGCTATGATGAGAATAAAGTCGTAATTGAGAAGAAACTTTTATAATGTCGTAATATTTGAGAAATAAGTTGCAAACTCAATCTCGATATCAGGCAGATGGAACCAAACATTTCACCATAATGTGGTGCTGATGTGACCAAATATGAAGTATGAGTAATTCGTTATTCTGAGTTTGTGCAGAGAATCTGTGTGAAAGGAGAGTCCAGGTGAAGTTTGGAGACTTTGGTCCAGAGACAGGCAGTAGTTTCAACCTCATTATTCCTTTTCATTCTGTTGGTTTAGCAGCCAATACCAATACAATTTGAATAAACTCAACAAGCACCTAAATCTGAGCCCTGTTTTATTGAACAACAACACCACATATGATCCTTTTTGGCTAGAAACACTGTTCCTATTCGTTAAACTTTGTGAAATGTGCGTTCACTAGACAGACTCTATCCTAATTGTAGAGCGATTACCTCAGTGTGAAATTCTCTTTTTTCTTTTCCAGAGCCTATTTGGATGTGAAAGAGCTGAAAGAGATTCTGCATTTGGACGGCTCGACTCACCTGAACGTCTTCTTTGCCAATTCCTCTGATGAAGATCTGGCGGGGGCTGCCACTTGGCCGTGGGACAAAGAAGCCCTCACACATTTAGGTAGGAGACAGATAAAATCACAGACATACAAACACACACACACATGCATATTCTTAAACACATGCACACATCCTTTCAGGTTGTTGATTTTGAGTAATAACAGTTCAGGCCCCGAGCAGTTACTGTCTTCATCGCGGTTCTAACAAGGAAGAAGGTGATAATGAGGCTTAGGAGAGCCATGAATAATGCATTGTCTGAATCTTACTCCAGTTCCACAATTACTTCACGCTACAGTTGGAATGGGCATTCGTGTTGGGTGAACACTCATTGGAGTGTTTGAAATGTTTAAAATGTGCGTGGGCGTCTCTTTCTTCTGTCTCTCACCAGGTGGGATGGTGCTGAATCCGTCCTTCTACGGCACCTTTGGTCACACCGACACGATGGTCCACGAGATCGGTCACAGCCTCGGCCTTTACCACGTGTTTCGAGGCATATCGGAGACCGAGTCGTGCAACGATGCGTGCCTGGAGACGGAACCCTCGATGGAGACCGGAGATCTGTGCGCCGACACCAACCCCACTCCTAAATACAAAGGCTGCCACGATCCCGAGCCGGGCAACGAAACCTGCGGCTGTCGTCATTTCACGCACACGCCGTTTAACAACTACATGAGTTATGCAGGTGAGGTGGGGCCTCCACATGTGTTTTGCCTTTTTCCTGGGCAAATTGCTACAGTTAATACCTCTCACATGCACAAAAGGACATCGCTGTGGAGGAATGTGTTGGGTCTGTGTGCATACTGAGACAAGTGAGGAATTTAGCGGGGACCTTTCATGTGAAAAAACATAGTGGGAGGCACATCCGCTAATGTCACTCCTTTTGTGCAACTGTTTTGATGCCAGAGTTGATTTTATTGATGCGATCGGACTGATGGAATAATTTAATACTCACTTCCTTGTCCTGTCACATCTCATCTCACCCTCCTTCACCTGCAGATGATGCCTGCACGGACTCCTTTACACTGAACCAGGTGGCCAGAATGCACTGCTACCTGGACCTCATTTACCAGACCTGGCAACCCTCCTCGAAGCCTCCTCCGGTGCCAATGGCACCACAAGTGGTCGGGCAACATCATAACTCCATCAACCTGGAATGGTTTCCACCGATTTCTGGACACTTTTACGACAGGTGAAATGAGTTGGCAAAAAAGACGCTGGTGTGTACGGTGAAGTTTAGAGTCAGGAGAGATTCTTTCTGCTCATTATTGAGCAAGTTGATTGTGCAAATATAACATTAAATGAGTTGTTTACAGAGTAAAACCAGAAGATGAACCAGGGAGTGTGATCTAAAACATTTGCCGTGTAATTACAATTACTGCTTATGTCTTTATTTATGTGTTAATAACTTGTGTTTGGCCTGTATCTAAGTTGGTTGTTGTGCTTGTGTGTTGGTTTCCTAGAGAAGTGGGATCAGTTTGTGATAAATGCACTGAGGGGAGAGTTCTGCTGCAGTACGCCTCCAACTCCTCATCGCCACGGCCGTGCGCACCATCTGGACACTGGTCCCCACGAGAGGCTGAAGGTACAATACACAGTTGGTGCGCATACAGGTTGTCAGTATCTTGATTGCAAAAGCTGTTTTTGCGAAAAGCAAATTCAACGCAAAAGCCACATCCACCTTTTCATCTGCAGTTTACCAGACGATAACACGATTTGAGGTTTCGCCCTTTGTTGATTTTCTGAGTCAATACTCCGATGCACAAAGATTTCGGTTGACTGACTCAACCCCGAAACATGCAAATGACTCACTGGTTCATGACACTTGGGCCGTGGGACAACACGGACGGATCAGGGAGGTCGCTTCCCAGTGGACGGTGCTGTATGTTACCGCAATTCCCAAATCAGCACTCAGGCCCAAAACCAAGGTTAAAGATCACGTCTTAGCTGTAATTCCCCATTTAGTTTTGAGTCAAATTCCGAAATTAGTCGGATTTTGGAAAAAAACCCTCTATATTTCCTATTCTTGTCCTGTTTGTAAAACCATATTAGAACATGCTATACTGGGACAGGAATCCAGGATGAGGTAATTATTCTGAAAAAGTGGCTGTTTTCCGATATGCGTTGCTCTGATCACTCTGTGGTTCTGGTAATTGCAGCTTCAAGAAAAACTCTGGGATGCTGGATATCATGCATGAAACTTTGTGTAGATATTTGTGCATACTGTTGTTCTCCAATGTTATCGACTTTTAATAAACTTAGACATGGAATAAAAGTATGGAGATCTGTTAAGAACTATAGTGGCCTGAAGTGAGGACAGATTCTGGAAATTAGGATTCATATCGTCACATGGAGGTGTATGCAAATTGACAAATAACAGCAGTGTAGCAGTATGTAAGATTCAAGGAACCTTATTTTTTATGCTGAAATAACCACGTCTAAGAAATATTTTAATTGAGAATCTCTAAGTGATTACAACTTTAAAATTGTTCAAAAATCTTTCCTACCTTTTCCTACTTTCCACTTTTCTATTTGACCAGAAGTATAGAATCAGTGGTCTTACACGTCCGTGCATTTCCTGCAATTCATGCAACCATTTGATGGCTTCCTGTAAACTCTAGCACAGAATTTAATGACTAATAAGTATGTGTACACTCAGCCTGCAGCGCAGCGTATCTGAGACTGTGGAACCCGCACATCACTGTAAGGTCATGTAGCGAGTCTGACCAAAGTCTATTATCCACACATTATCCCACGTTTAAATCTCAAAAGCTGACAGGCCTTTCATTGGTTTGGCCCTTAGGCTCTGGAACCATCTTCCTCCATATATCAGATCAACTAAATCTGTCAGCTGCTTCAGGCAGCAACCAAACTTGTTTTTATAGTGCAATCTCTTATTTGTGTGGGAATGTTGAATCGGTGTTGACGTCTATTTAACCTCTATCTGTTTTATATTTTATGTGTAATCGTACATCTGCAGTTTCTGTTGTGTGAACTATTCAAAGCATAATTAAATAATGAGTGTTTATAAAAGTGCAATTATAATGATAATTCCTGCAATAACAATTTACATTAAATACCTGTGTAAACTAACTAAACATTATTACTAGTACTTCAGCTAACTCCTCAATGCTTACATAATGACATGACAAAATCTTAAACTGACTCTATCAGAAACAAGTAAAATACAGACAAAGACAATGTACAGATGTATTATTATTTATACTGTTCATACCCACCGGAAAATCAAAGATATATATTTCTAGTGTGGACAGGCCCCCTTTCAATCAAACTTAAAAATAGTGCACTTTTAGTAAAACCACCATCTTTCCGCTGACGAGTGTGATAATAAGTTGATAAAAATCCAGATATGTCCTTATTATGGTAATCTATTTTGTCTGTTACCATGAAACTAAATGTCAAAACAAATGGGTAAAAACACCAAAAACCCAGTAACAGTAAATTAGATATGACTCAACAGCATTAATAATAACAATGAAATATCACTTTGCCAAAGAGTTGAATTTGTCTCTGTCTCTGGTTCTGTCACTTTGAGTCTGAGTGTTTCTCTCCGTGTGTGTGTGTGTGTGTGTGTGCGCGCGCGTGCGTGTGTGCGTGTGTGGACGCTCTATAGATTCTGAAAGCACTCAACCTTGCCCTCACAGTGTGTGTGTGTGTGCGTGTGTGTACCGAAGGCAAGTCTGGGCTTGTCTAACACGCTGTGTGTGTAAACTGTACTCTGTACTATTTTCCCTCTTGGAAGGGGTCCCTGTTTGTGGCTGCTCCCCGTTCCCTGTTAACTCTGCCTGGGCCAGCTTCTCACTGGATACCACAGCTGCCGGTTCCTGCTGCGATTGTGCATATGTGTCTCACAGTTTCTAATTTCCAAAAGACATTCTGGCAAACGTCAGCCTCGAGGAAGTATTGGCATATTAACTATTGGAATAACATCCTTATATTGTGCGTTCGTACGTGTGTCTACATCAACATCCATGCATATGTACAGCACCTGTTACTGAAGGACTTGCCGGTTGTGTCCTAACACTACTTGACTGGGAAACACTGCCGTGGTCGGAGAGAGCCAAAGTACTTCTCATAAATCTTTACTACTGTATGCCCTGGAGAAATATGGAAGGGGGGGGGTGGGGCAAGAAAGAGAAAAAGGGCAAAAACACACATGGATATGGATTCAGGGGAGAGGGGGTGAGAAAGGTTGTGAGGGGTGGAAACCACCCAAGATAGTTAAGAGAACTGCATGTAGTTAGTGACATTCACAAGGGAGGATCCTGAGTTGATTGAAAACAGCAGTGTGCGTGAATGGAAGTGAAAGGTCCAGGATGTATATGCTCACTAGCAGATGTGTGTGGGACTGTGTGTGTCTGTGTGTGTGTGTAGCTCTACATGGAGACATATCCCTGTTATTTTGTGAGTGCACATGGAGGTGCACTTACAAAAATAATGCCCTTAATGTGCATTTGCAACATATGGAACGCACAGACTGCTTCCCAGTGTGTAAATATATGTATGGATTTACTCAATACGTTTTAACAGCAAACATCTGTGTGTTTGTATAAGCACAGGCCCAAGATATTATTAGAATCCTTCTTGAAATATATATATGCTGGTTTATGGGATAGGAGGAAGGAAAATCATAATACGTTAGGAAAGAAACATTCATTAATGAAATGATTAAGAACATGAAAAACTTATGGGATATGTGGCCCTTCCTGACACATTGATGGGATCCCTATGTTTAATATACTGTGTCAGATTGTTGGTTTTCCTGAATCCACCCCGAAAGGCGAATTTTATCGTCTTTCCTGCCAAGTTCAAGCAAAGTGCACAGACCCTGTTTGACAAAATGACCTAATGTCTGCTGTAGCTGAATGAATATTTATTTAACTATAACATTTACACCCCTCATGAACATTTAACTTTACAACGCACAGAGAAAAAGGCACAAAACTCCCTTCAGAAATCTGCTCACTTCTACCCTCGCTAGGCGGTAACATTACACGCCAAGTCAAATACTGTCGACTTGATTATTGATTTATTATTGCCATCTCCTGGTAAACCTGGGTTTATTCAAATAAACATAACCTGTTTTGCCGCTCATGATTTTTCCTTGGCTCCCTTCACCTGTTCATAACGGCATCATGTTCGCTCCTTCATTAAACAACTCTGTAGGGATGTATACATGTGTAGCACCTGTGGCATCTGCTCCATACGTTAAAATTAAAGTCTTCCTTCCCAGAGATACGACAGATTAACCTCTGACGTGCCCTGAACGCAACGTGAAGTGACAACGATTCCCAAGCTGCATAGTGTCTCTTGCCTTCATGAAGTGGATCTGTGAGTGTGTGTGTGTCTGTCTGTGTCTGTGTGTGTATATGTGTGCGTGCCAGGGCAAAAAGGGGGCTGGATAGGGGTTGACGTAGGTCTTCTGAGCGAGGAAGTGTGTAACAGTGTTTGACAGTGAGTCACCAATGGTGAGAGAGAAAGCCAGGCACTTCCTAGAAAGCATCAGCCGTGCATGCCTGGACACGTCCCTGTGTGTTTATCCATGCACCTAATATGGAGGATTATTATTGGATAACCGACAGGCGTCTGCAACTTGTCATTTTTTGTCTCATTTCCCTAATGCGTGTCAAACTTGTATCGTCTTACCTTCAGAGCATATCAGTATCTTTTGCTTCACTTGTGCATTAAAAGAAACAAGTGTAATTGCAGTTGGTGATTATGGAAGTCTCCAAATAATAATTGAATTAGTAGTGGATGTTAATGTTATTTAAATGTTTTAATATATTGTCTTTTACAAGCAATGCACGCTTTATAATCATTTACTCAAAATTACAGTGAACTGTAACCTTATCTCATCTGGCCCGACCTTTGCCGTGGCTCTGATATTGACCTGATACTGAAGAGGTTAGAAAACACAGACACACTGGCTCATGTTGAACTCAGCACCGATTAGACTGCAGGTCGGCTTATTTTATTTCACTCGCTGTTCCTATAATGGTTGTTTTTGTCGACTTGGCAAATGGGATCATCTTATAATAAACAGAGAATGAATGGCTCGTATTGAAAGCTCAGGTCGGGATGGTTCAGTCACCCAGAGGCCCCCTCTCCCCTCTGCAAGGGGATTATAGGTCAAACACCTCAGAGCTTTTTGTGCAGTAGTTAGAAGCTGATATAAAACTGTTGGAGGTCTGTGTTCTTTGGTGAGGTTTGGAGGTCTATGAAATTTAGTATCTTCAATATTTTGTCACAGTGAATCTCGATTACCTGTTAACCAGATAATTACATTGTGCTATTCGCTTTGCCTCAGGTTACACAGTGGATGACACCCCTATTCTGTCTCCTCTTAAATCTCCGACCGCATCAGCAACAGCGCCAGAGCAGGAGTATGGCCCATCATAACAGCTGACATTACAAAATATTTTCAGTGGCTGCAGCAGCCTTTCCTTGCAAACTCAATGAAAACGTACCCGTAAAGCCAGGACTACATGAGCTGAGCAAAAAAAGCCAAGCTCTTGGAGTATCTCGGTTCATTCTCTCCCAGCCTCCCCTCTCCCCGTCTTTCTCTCGGCCCCCTTTTTTCTCTCTTTTTCTTTATTTCACCTCCACTCTGGCCACACACACACTTACAGTACAATAATAAATGTGTTGAGATAATGTGGCTTGGAAACCATATTCAGTCCTCACTTGATTAAACACTGGAATTTTGCATGGTGCCCAGAAATGAGGTTAGCAAATGGCTTCGTTGGTTGCCAGCTTGGAAATGCACAAAAGGAAATTGAGGGAGAACATAGTGTCTGCCTCTCGCTGGCTTCTAAAAGTGCTTGATGAATGTTAGTGTACGTCACTTGGGATAATGCGAGTTAGCTGTGTGTGGACTCCAAATATGGCTGGAGTGTGACTGTTAGAGGTTGTAATGACTGTGCTGAAGTGAGAACCCTGCGCTGGGCCCCTCTCAGAAGGTACACACCTCAGCTCTGCCTTTCCTCTGCACATGGACTCACAATGAACTCTCAGTTTCACCTCTACCTTGATGCTGCAAGTAATGTAGATACATTAAAAAGACCATTGATGCAAATTCCTTCTGTCAGCACTCATAAAAACAGGAATTTTCTGCATCGCTTGTATTCATCATTAAATACGTCTTTATGTTATTAACAATCGTTCATGTGTGTGCAGGAAATTAGACTGCTGGCTCTCAGTTATTGTGTTTTTTTTCGTGTCATGCTGTTGTATTGCCAAAGAGGTTGTGTTAACATCCTGTTCTGTCTGTTGGGTGGTTTGTTTATTTGTTTGTTTGTTTGTTTGTAAGCAAAATTATGCAAAAACTATGGGATGGATTACAACAAAACTTGGTGGACCCAATACATTTTCATGCAGATCTGGATCAGGAGGCAGATCCAGGAATTGTTTTTTACTCTTTTTGATATGGCATGATCGGCTTTTTCAACATTTTCACTATTTTCCCAGAGAATAATTCATGGATCTTGATTTTAAAAAGATCAGGTACAATCTGGTAACTGGTTTCTATGAGTGTGTGGAATTTGATGCAGCTTGATTAAACTGAAGGAGACTGCTGTGCCTCGTGACTCTACTGAGTGCCTTCTTGTTTGAAGTGTCTTTGTTGTGTTTGCATGTTGTGTGTGTGACACTGCGTATCCTTTTGTGATTATATCCCACAGGCCCTCCAGATGTGGAGCAGGCTTGTGAGCCAAGTGTGCGCACCTGGAGCCCCAATGCAGGGATCGAGCAAGGCGTCGTCGGCCTGTCAGAATGCCCTCTCCAGGGCTGCATGCTTCAGCTGGAGTTCCCTTACCCACTGGTGCCAGACTCTCTCACTGTGTGGGTCACCTTCTTCAGCCCCGAGGAAACGGCACTGCCAGCCATCCACAACATCTTGCTGTTGACTGTCAGCGGGAACAACATTTCATTGGGCCCCAGCAATGTCTTCTGCGACTCCCCACTGACGTTGAAGCTGGACATCGAGGAAGAGGTGTATGGGGTACAGTTTTTCACCATGGAGCAACATCTAGAGATTGATGCCACCCTCTTGGCATCCAAGCCAAACTGCATACTTTGTAGACATTGCAAACCACTGCGCTACCGCCTGCTGCGCCAGCCGCCCTTCACCCATGCACCACATGGTCTGTTGCTGAATGAACCTACCCGCCGAATTACAGACAGGTGAGTGATGTGGTAGGTGAATGTCAGTCATCACTTATTAAGTTCTTCCAGATATTTCTATTTCTATAAGTTTGTTCTTTGTCAAGGTTTCAGATCATTTGCTCCAAGCATAGAAAGGAGGCCATACAATGGTTTGGCTGGAAACAATAGTTTTTACCCAGTTTATTTTAGTCATTGAAAATTGCTGAGTGGTTGCCTCTTAGCTTCCTGCTTTAGTGTGATGTAATTAGAGGTTTTAGACACGCCAGTTAGTAGGTGTTTATTTATCTGTGGAAACTATCCACAAAAATATGTTTTTGTAATATCAGATATCCTTTTCAATACCCCTAGGAGCACTCGCATGCCGCCACTGCTTCTGCACTTTCAAATCTGCTGCCCAACATTTGTTTCCTATGTCACAGGTCAATCGTTGCTCACATTTGTTTTTTCCCATGTTCCATGAAGCAAGGGCAAACAGATGGCTTGTTGAAGGTATTATCTGCACGCTGTGGTGAGAGTTTAGTGCTTTGCTTTCATGGAATGTGCTGACTCAATAAAGATTGTGCTATACATGGCACTGCTGCTGTTATGCCATCTCACTATCGTGCTGTCAGCGAGGTTCACATGAGAAGGAAAGTGCTTGATAAGAGGCGAAAGGGTGAGTATGCATGTTATGCAAGATGGAGTGATGATACTTAAGTTCCATAAAGTGTCTGTACACAACTTCTTGGTTGAATGACAGTGTCTGTGGAAAGCTGTCTGCAGTGGGGATGTATTTATTTGGGGGTTTTGGCACACTTCAGTGATTACTGATGTACTGTAGGTAGTTTTACTGCTGTGGTATATTTCACTAGCTGTGGTTGCATTCCAGTGGTAGTGGTCAGTGGCACTGGCTGCCTATTTTCTGTTGTGAGAGCATATGGGATCTTGTCTCTGTTGGATGGTCAGAGGAGTTTTATAGCAAGGATGTGTGTTCCAGCCGTCAACTCTTTAACGGATTCTAATAAAGAATAAGTGTTCAAAAACATAAATAGCAGTATTTTTCATTTACAACAGTTTTGGGAGAAAAAAACATTAAATTGTGAAGTTTCAAAAGGATGAAGTTAAACCCTACAAGCGAGAGAGAACATCAATGAGACTGTGTGCACTTTTTGTGAAGTGTTTTGAGTTACTCTTGATTATTGATCAATGCTTGGATACTGGCCATATATCAAGTTAGCTTTGGGCTCTGTTCTTATATCAAAGCAAGCTGATGATTATTATTGATTGATCTGCCCATTGATTTCTTGTTCAACTGAGTAATTGTTTTGTCTTTAAAATGTCTAAGTAAGTGGAAATGGATGTCATATTTTGAAGAACGAAGAGTCAGACATGTGCTAGATGTTATATTCTTTGATGTGACTCTGATGAGGCATTATAGCCTCAGGCTAAGATAATGCTTCATCACACCCACTGTCTCACAAACAAACATAGCCTTTGACATGGTGAAATGAAGAACAAAGTTCACCCAGATGTTTTGGCATGCCACAAATCCAATGTTAAGTGCTTTGTTTGATGGTGGAAGTCCAGCTGCTGAAGTGCTTTTGTTGACCACACAGTATGATGCTTCTTCTTGCAGCCTGTTCCCATTGGGCTGAATAGATCGATTAAGGTGTCGATGAGGGGGGTAAATGACCTCCCACTGTCAGGCCACTGGCCTTCACCTAAACAGGGGCATGCCAAGCCAAGATGAACAGCTGAAGTCTTGGCTCCTTTGCCTCCATCCATGGCTGGTGGTTTGTTTGGAATGGCTCAGGGCTGGGAGGTCAGGGTGACAGAGTAAATTATGGCAGGGAGTAAAAAAGGGTGACGTGAAGAGGAGATGCTGGGGTGGAAGGTTGGACTGGTTGGGGGTAAATCATTGCAAGGGTCGGAGGGCCAATAGGTGAAGAGGAGAACATTAGGGGGTAGAGAAAGTATGAAGGGAGAGGGTTGGAAGGTTGGGGTAGTTTGATCCCCTCCTGCTGAGGAACCCGAGCCCATGGGTTAATCCTCTTCCTGGCGTGGGTTTCAGAGCTGTCATTCAGTCAAAGGCTATCTCAGGGCTGACCTGAAAAGACATCTCAGCCAAAACAGAGAGAGGGCAGCTCCCCCAGCATCAATATTACCCAACACCCCCTCTGTTATTGGACTCTTTTATTTTACAAATAAGGTACAAGGTTTGCTTATTTATATATTTGTTGTGTTTCACACTTTGACTTATTTTGAACAGCACTGCTCATAATTGCGAGTACTTGAGAGGCATAGCCTATGCTTAGGTCGCTCTGTGGTAACCATAACCCTAAAGTTTAGTGTCTTTCAGGCTAACTGAACAAAACAACTATATAATAACAACAATGAATTCTAGCCTTTCAATGTAGTTGTATGTTACATCTTACAAAGTAGTTATTTTTTTTAGCTAACCTTGGCATATGGAGTAGATTTGATATTTGTTTATGGTTTAATGTTTTGCAGTTACAATTCTGGGTCATTGGCAATGTCAATAGTATTAAAGTGTATTAATTCTAAATATGATATTAGTAGTTTAATTTTAAGTGCCATTAAAAAAATCTACATTTTAAATTAGGTATTGAGGTTTTGGCATCCCTTTTTATTTCCCCATAAAGTTTAATTCCCTCTCATCAGTTACTGATTTTACTTCTTTTCAGTAATTTCTTTTTTCTTCAGGCCAACTTGTCCCTGGCATCATACACGGCTTCTTTGTAGGAAATTAGTCCAGTGTAATCCTCCCAATATGAACAATATTCATGACACCCTGACAGAATAGATGTACTATATATTTATATAACTTAAAATTGAGGCCTTCATATAGACTTAATTAAATGCATTTGCTTGTAAATCTATACTTCTAGCTGTAGATATTTTGTAGGTGTAAAACTGATAGCAGCAAAACCTCAAATGCTTGTCAGCTGCCTCCTTGACAAAAGGAGCATTGCACTGTTTGTTGTTCTTGCAGGCTCAATCTAAGAGTTTTCCCCAACTTTCTTAAATTTATCTGCTTTTCTCATCTGGGATTGCTCAGCCAAGAACAACAAGCAGCTACAGAACGGAAACACATCCATATGCATGCTCACACATAAGCCTAGTGCACACACAAGTGAAGGCAGGAACACACACACACACACACAGATGAGCACCGACGCACAGTAACACTCTTCTTGGTCTCAGTAGCAGGCACATACTTTCGCACATGTTTCCATGCGTAATCACCTGGTACTATCAAAACACCTTTCAAAGACATATTACGGTGCCTTGTGGCTGGCTTTGAGCGTGAGCCAAGATAAAACCTTGATTCCAAGAGAGGTCTTGAGTAGAATGTCTGAGCCCACAGAGATGCACCAATGATGAAACACGATCACGTGACACCTTGTCTGTGACTGTATAAGTTCCATATCAGAACAGTTGCATATCTTATAAAATCAGTCACAGATGAAAGTGTGGTTTTATGAATTCTGGGTGGCTGGCAAAAGTCATGTGTATCACTGGATCCTATCCATCACATACACTCGTGTCTCAAACGGTTGTACCACATCAAATAATTGTGCCACATCAAATGGGATGAAAGGATGATGCAGGTTATCAATTCGTTTTTGCAAATTTTCTGTACATTAGTGTCCCTGCCATTCCAAACGTTGTTCTTATACTGTATATCCAGCTATCCAAATCCAAAGAAACAGAGAATTCCTGCAATACTTCTGCACCACTTTTTCATTTTCTCGCTCTTTCATTCTTCCCTGCTGCCAACAGCAGCCAAACGCAGCATGGCTGTTAGCAGGGAGGTCAGGAGAAATCAAGCATGCACCTAATTGGGACCAGGTTGAAAGCCACATTTAAACAGTTGTTATCACGCTATGGCACTGTTGACCCTATAGAAGGTCCATTATGACACCCAGGTAGCAGCAGAGCTGTCAGGGTGAGGGTTAGGGGTTTAGGCTTAACTCTAACCCTCTTCCATAATCTAATTATCTTTTAGTTGTTAAGTAGCATTTAAAGGAGAAATGCCTACCTTTGTGTTTGCTCTGTGTTGGTTAAGCACAGGGAAAGACTGTGGTCTGGTTTAATACAAAATGAGTTCACAGTGTCTTCACAACACATGTTTATTTACATTCAAACAAAACCATAATCTTTCCTTAAGCTTAACCAAAGTGCTTTTGTTGCCCAAACCCAACCACAGACAGGGCCATGGATGTGAATCCTGCTGCCTGGCAGCAGAGACAGCTGTGCCCGCCGTGACCCTCACTACTCTGCTGCCGATCATAAATGTTGCACTTTATACAACTAACAAAAAAACATTTAAAAAAAAAAGTTTCCTCTGAATGTAACCAAGGCAGCAATTATGTTGCCACCGCAACATAATTAGGAAAACATTTTAGTTGTGTATGAATGAGAAAGGGGTTGTCGAGGGTTGCCGTGCTGTTGGACCAAACAGGTAGGGTTCAGAAATTGCTGCTTTTAACTAAAACAATAACCCTGAAATGGAAAGAAAATACTTAAAGCTTTAACAGCTTCTTTCTAGAGAAAGGTGTTGGGTCTGGTTAAAGAAAACGTTTGCAGTATAGGCTGCTGTTGGCACTATTGACTGGTTTGCAGTTCTTAGCCCCCGGGTAGACTTCCAAAAGAAAATCAGCGTTGACTGTGGACGCAAACCGCAGCCTGTGGTCTGGGAGATCGTGGTTGTGCACTCAGTCATCCACCTCGACTTCCTCCCAAAGACTTTTTGTGGCAGGACTCCAACATCATGCAACTTCCACCTTTGGTGCTGAAAGAGGGCTGTCATTATTCTTATGGGACTACAAGACGTTGCTTTTCTGGGAAATGTTAAGAGACATTTCGGTGTCTTTGGTTTCTCTCTTGCTGCTGCAACTTCACGTCAGATGAAATAACTTGGAAAATACTATCTCACATTGTCACTATCATTGCAGAATACCTGGGGAAGATGCATGGAATAAACCTCATCATTTTGAGGAATAAATCACTGTTACCTCATCATACTTTCCACAGAAGCCCCTAGATATTTCTACAACTTCTCTTTACCATATTTTGGAAATCACCATTTAGCCATCCATTTTCTCATCTGTTCCTTGTTTGATTTTTTTCTCTCCATGTATTTTTCCAGTTCTCTACATCCCCTTATCTCCTAATCACTCTGATCTAGCCACTTCTCTCTTTCTTCTTGTTTGTTCTTGCATGACCATGTCTCTCAGTGTGGCCTGATCAATCTGTGCAATTACTTCTCCGTGCATTGGATTACCTGAAGCATCATAGCCAGATATTCTCATTATCCACTAAAAGCAAATTCTTGTACTTCCTTACTGCAGAGCAGTATCTGTTTCTCCCTTCTTTCCGTCCATTGTGTGTGTTTGCTCTCCTCAAAGATAAAGTCTCCCACAGCTTGACTTTTCCAGGGGCTAAACTAATTCAATTAGAGGGGGCATGTTTGAGTGTAACCTGGAGTTGCACCAGCACAGGCCCACATTGCAGAATAGGACATACTGTAGAATAAAAGAGAGTCTGTCAGGTCAAACATTCTGTGTTGATGATAATGACGCCAACATAAATATCTCATCCTAGGCACGAAATTTGCTGTGGGGAAATTCATTTTGTTACTTGATCTTTAGGTTCATCGGTTTTTATACTTGGGACGGCACAGCTAACTTGAACTTGGCCCGCTGTCGTCTGCTGGGAATGTGATGGACAAACACAGGAGAAAATGGAGAAATGAAGATGAGGGAAAAAAAAACAAAAGCCATGTCCCACAGTCAGCAGTGTCCTGGAGAAAACTATCTTTTCTGGTGTTGCTCTTCCATTTGTGTGTCTTTTTTTAACATGGATAAAGAATGCAAAAGCATATAAACGCAAATGTTCAGCTTTTATTCTAAAGTGTTTTTATGAAGGTGCGCAGAATATCTGCTTCTTTCATCAAACATGTCTTTCTGTCATTTTTGGCCAGTTTGTCTTCAAGCTCATCAAAGGTTATGGCTTCCCTGAACATCACTGCAAGTCTTCCTTGGTTTGATTGCTGACTTAAGCTTTGGCCTTGGGTGAAACCATTGTGGTACCAGAGCAATGTTTGCTGCTGGTGCTGCATTGCACTCACACTGTGGATTATATGGCAGCAGTGGGAATAGTGGTTTATGCCTGTGTACTCTTGTTTAAGTTTGAAGGCCATAGTTGGCAGCCTGTGTGTTACGAACAACAAAGGTATTATGTGTGTATGTGTGTGCTGGCATGTACTGTATGTGCACATGCCACACATGTGTGTGTGGGTTGCCTTGTGTGACAGGCACATGAATCCACAGTATCCTTGCATGGTTGTCACTGCCTTTATTGCAGAGGGCATTCCCAAATTAGGTCTATGGAACTTGATGGTCCACATAAAATGATCTATGGCAAACCTAATGTTCCTATTTACCCTCATTTACTCCCTTATTTTCTCTATAGTGCGGACTGTGATCATTTTTGGAATCATTAAACTGCATTTATTTGTTCTTACTGCTATTCTTTGATTCCTGCCCGTGTTTTAAATAGCGAAAGAAATGCAAGGACTTCGTTGTCAATAACTGTTTGTTTCTTAAGGGTTTCGCTGTCATCTATCAAAATTAAATATTGTTCCAGCTTGAGCAAACATCGTAAAAGAACATCACGGCTACAGCCATAAAAATATTACACAGTATAATGTGTTCCTGTCAATTATAGATAAGGGAGCCAATTGGATTCCCTTTTGTAATCTCACATAGTTATCAGCTCTCAGTCAAACAAAAGTTGGAACCAGAATAGTTGATTTAAATTAAATGGGAACAGTGGTGTGTGCAAGACGATCTTCAAAAAACAACAATATACCACAAAACATATAAAAGAGAGTTAAGTTTTATGTCTCACGAACATTCTAATTTAGAATGTAACAAAATAATCTTGGTCTCTACACACACACTCTCTCTTCACATTCACTGGAAACACATTCCCTAGCCCCATACCCTAAGCTTAACCATTACGACTATATGCCTAACCCTGAGGTGGTCAAAGTGCTGTATGAATGTGTGTGAAAGCAAAAATAGCAAAAACTGCACTGCAAAGCATTTTAACATTGAAAGTCGGTCATTGGAAAGAGAGGACCATCCAAAATATCTTCACCTCGAAGCTTTGAGGCTCAAAATGTCGTACACGTTCACAAACACACGATATTGGGCCCAAAACTCTGAAAGCCAAAAAAAAGGAACCATACATGAGAAACCATGACCATAAGCGACAAATCAAAACTTCAAGTGAGAAACCAAAAGTATAAGCAAAAGGAGAAAAAAGAAAATCAAAATGGAAAGAAAACTGTAAACAAGTTGCAAATGAGAGTGCTGATGGGAAAAATCAATTATCTGAGATATGAAAACATATTTAAACCTTCAAATCCTTTGTTTGCCTTTACATGTTTGGTTAGGAAATACAGGAAAGGATCTGGATTTATAAAACAAGCAACGTGCTTCTACTTATTTTAAGCAGTTACATCAGAGGATTATTGATTATGAGTGTAAAAAGACCTTGTGTCGGTCACTTGATCAGTGAATAACAGGATCAAGTTAACCTAGTTTAGTTAAAACAGGGATAGGATCTAACAGAACTCAATGAATACATGTAAAGGCAAAATCTGATCAGATAGAAAAAGTAACTTTTATGCTGTAAAAATAAAAAATAGCAGCACCCTCACTTGCACCAATGTTGTTTCTCATTTACAGCTTTCTTTCCTTGAGTTTTGTTTTGTTGCTTTGCTTATGGTTTTTGGTTTCTCATTTACAGCTTTGATTTTTTTCGGTTTTGGTTTTCTCATTTATGTTTTTTTTTTTTTTTCCTTTCAGACTTTTTTTTTCAGACTTCCTAATCATGGTGACTCAAGAAACCATCATGGCGACATAACACCGGCAAAGTGAGTAGTCCCCACCCCAAATATTTCTCCTGTCCGTTGTCTTTTCATGATGGTTCCTTGATTCACTATGATGAGGAAACTAAACTGGACCCAACGTGGGTAAACTCAGCAACGTCAGCACAGGATAGGTAGACGAGTACTGAGACAGATATTTGTATCTGTGTTGGCTGTAGTTTGGCTTGGTCCAAGTGTGTTTCCTGGAGAACGATCTTTCCTTTAGTTCTGATTCTTTTTCAGACATCTCTTCAAGGCTTCACATAATTCCACAATACTTGAATTTTTCTTTTTTTTGTTCTTCGTGCAGGGACGTGCTGCCACATGTTGTGTACACCTACCAAGTCCAAACCATCTCCAGCCGGAGTGAGAGTGAGCCCTCCCCACCTTTGGTGCACGAACTAGGATCACCATACTGCGGAGACGGACGAATCCAGAGGTGACAAGCAGCTACACACACACACACACGATCCAAATATGTAGTAAAATACATGAAAATAGTGTATTTGATTAGATATGTACAGTGTCAGTGTGTTTTCTAAGTACTGCTCCCTGCTGCTATAGTTCCGAAGGGGAGGAATGTGATGACATGAACTCGATGAATGGGGATGGCTGCTCCACTCTATGCAAGAAAGAGCCCTTCTTCAACTGTGTTGGTAAGTCCTTTATGGATGATTAGGATTTCCCTCAGGTCGAATGCTTGTCAACTCTGGATGGCTGCTGAGAAAACTGTTGAGTTGAACTTGTGCTGGAAAAAGTAAAAAAGTAAATAAAAAATAAATAATAATGCTATGATGTGGTTAAAACAACTAAGGGACACTTCCAGGAAAACATCAGCCTATAGTCTTAAATATGTCCAAACTTAAAACTTAGAACTTGGGAAAAAAATGAAAGAAAAACTACAAGATAACATATGACATATTTAGTTTATTAATGTTGATTATTAAGGTTATATATATATTCTACTGGTCTTAAGGGATATTTTAAATGACAGGTACATGATACCTGCAACATTTATCAAGTTCAGATTTGACAAACAGCAGCTTACAGAACATTTCTCGTCTGTTTTCTTCTGTGCCACAATTTTGTTGTCGCGTTGTGGATTTGACTGATTCTGTTTTCTGCATTCCTTCATGAAATGGATCTGCACAGTTTCTGATGAGACCCACAGGCTCACAAGTTTGTGAATGAACAGATCTGACATCTGGGCAGCTTTCATCCGAGTCCCCCTCGCCTTTCTCAAAAGCCAACAGAATAAGAATTCCATTAGATATCATAATCACTTTGACCTGTGTTTAAAAAAAATAAAATCTGGAAATCATTATTTTTTACAAGGCTGAATGATCTTACTCTACACAGTTGAGTGGCTGGCATCTCCTACGTTGTTTTGTTTTATGAATAGATGGATGGTTTCCTGTCCAGTTCTCCTGCTGCCTGACAATCATTTTACCCCCTGTTGTGATTGTGTGTGCCTGCACGTGTGTTTGTGCATGTACAGTACATGCATGCATGCACACACATGTGAGCCTCTGTGAAGTGGCCACTTAATCCCTGTCAGATTGCTGGATGGCTGCATTGGCTGTGCTGTTTTTCCACCAACTGCAGTGCTCAGGGAGGTGTGTGTAAGTGTGTGTGTGTGTGTATGTGTGTGCCTGACACTGTCTGACATAGTTGTAGTTTTGCGCAGAAATCGGACACTATAATGACGGGACCTTCTGTCCATCTGTCTGTATTTGTGAGAGAGGGCCTGCTTGTCAGCATGCTGGATAGTGAAATAGAGAGCTGGATGGAGAATTGACACTAAGTATACAACAGGGCCAGCGTGCTACAGTTTGGATGAGCTTTAATAGGCTATTCACACGATTGAGCCGAATTATATCTGGAATTAATGAATTCGACAAGTTCTTTTCACATGACCCCACCTGGCCTTACAATCCCACTGGCTATGTCTGTAGGGCTTCAAGCCACAATAAACACAGGTGCAGATAAAGCATAAAGGAAATGTAATATGATTTTCTTAAGCCATATTCACATTTTCCTTGTGTCACTGGAGTAATAGTTTTGGATTGTGTTTTTTTCTTTGCACTGTTTCAACATTATAACAGTGGTTATAGGCGTAGGATGCTTTTATGATTTACATAAACAACCAAAAGAGGTATAGAATATTTTTCCCCCCTTTCTATTTTCATCTTTTCTCAACTCATCACTTGTTCTGTCTCCAACCGTAGTGCTCGCTTTCTGCTTTTTGCTCTTGCACTCAATCACCTTTCCACTTTTTTCCGTTATCTGTTTATTCTATCCCCTGTCCAAATTCAAATGCTGCAGCAATAGCCTCCTTTTCCATCCTTTCCCTCCTCTTCTCCCTTCAGCTCACACTCTAGCTCCTTTACTCCTGCAGCTTCTCCAGAGCCACTGTTTGAGCTTCCTCCCGTCTCTGCCTCACCGCCTCCCCTTCTCCTTCTTTGCCTCTGTTCCCGCTGAGTGAGTGGCGGGAGCGTATTCTGTATGCCCCCTCAGTAGCCCCTCGTTTCACCGTTGCCAGAGCACAGAACTGACTTGAATTTTTGGCCGTGCTGGGGAGGGCTGGAATTTCGAGGAGGAGGCCCCGGCCAACTTGGCACAGAATGCCGCCTTTCCCCCTAACTGGAACCCCACCGGCTGACACTGCTTTAGCTGAGAGCAATGAGGCCCAGGCAACCTCCCTGCTCTGCTCCCCTCTCCTCCAGTCCATAAGCTTCCAGCTCCAGACCTTAACTCCGGGTGGGATGTCTGGAAAAATTACTGCTGTATCTGTCTTTACCTCTTGACATTGTCTGGTCTCCCCCCTCCTCACTGTGTTTGTCTCTCTCGCACTTGTTTTTATCGCTCTGTCTTTCAGCTTCTTTCTTCCTGACTAGGACATATTCTCTCATCTCTGTAGATCCTCACAAACCCAAGAATTTATCCTCCTTTTTTTTCCATGCACCTTCTATCCCGTAACTCCCTCCCTTGTTTTTATCTGGTGCTCTCACGCCTGACCTTCCAAAACAACAGAGATAAGGTTAGGAATTGTATCCCAAAGGATCAGGGGCTATGAATGTCCCATAAAAAAGGATGAGGGAAGTGGATAGGGTGAGGAGTAAAAGTTCGTAAAACTTTAATTGTTTTGCGTTGTTCGAAAACATGCTGGCATAAAGAAGCAGGATGTTAGTGAAAAATCAGACCGGCGGACACTAGCCGTACTCAATCCTGACATTCCATAAAAAGTCACAAAAGCAAAGATAATGATGTATTTTAAGCTTCTCCCTTTTCTCTTATCACCCGCAGAGGAGCCGAGCATGTGCTACTACTATGATGGTGATGGGGTGTGTGAGGACTTTGAGCGAGAGACTGGCGTGAGAGACTGCGGCCTCTACACCCCCATTGGCTTCCTGGACCAGTGGGCCTCCAATGTCGAAGTTTCCCATGAAGAGAAGCCTTACTGCTCCGGCGAGGTGGCTGCTGGATACCCTACTGTCACTAAAGTAAGGCCACACACAGCTTGTCTTATCTTATACACTTTACCAATACAGAAAATAAACTATTCTCAGATACAAACTCCATAAAATGCATGGAAAATTTTACATATGAAGAACACAGCAGGAGATTGTCTGGAAATTCTTCAATGATTTGGTGCTATTTCTTTCTCACTATTAACGTTTTGCACGTCATAATGATGTGAAGCCTCAACTTTTGCAAGAAACTTGTAAAAACTTATTTTGCTGGTTTTATCAGTGAAATAAGTTCAGAGACCATGCAAGACATTTAATTAGATGTCTCCCAGGGTGGGTGCAGAAATGTGCTGCTCTCATTAAAGTAATGCTTATTGAAGACAAGAGAAGAAGCCATTGATTCCACCTAAGCCCGGTGGATGCATTGATCTGTTGCTGTCGCATCGCAGAAAGGGGCTGATTACCAGAAACATTAGGGTGAGACTTACATGCACGCACACACACACACAAATACACACACACACTCACACACACATAAAGCTTCGGACAAACCGTGCATTAAGCTCAATCCTATTTAATCCCCTCTCTGTAATATGGACGGTCAAAGCTAAGGCATGTTGTTGAAGTATACTATCTCCTTTCAAGCCACTATTTATGACACCACTTTGTTATTGTCCAGTCTCTTGACAGCTTTCAGGATATTTGCGATTAAAACCAAATGTTAAAAAAATATCCTGCACTATCTTACTTTGACGTGAAGAGTGACATCAGTATCCATTGTTAAATTTTATGATCATAAATATTTTAACCTTACAAAAAAGAGAGACATTTTCTTGGAACATTACTGACAGAGCTCTCTGTGTGTGATGTTGGAACTCGAGCTTGTTCCTTCGCTGATGATGCATTTTACAAGGCCACTGACCTGGTTATTCTCAAACAGCTGCGTTCAGGTGCCTTGCTCGAGAACACTTTGGCAATAGATTTAGGCAACCACAGGTAGGAGATAACCACCACCATTTAATGCATTTTAATATTTACAGTGTATTTATGGCACTACTTCTGTCTGAGGCAAAAAAAAGGTTATGTGATCCAACAACATTGCAGATGTTTGAGACACCAGTGGAACACATCCATGTAACCATAAAGAAAGGATTTCTGCTGTGAAGGACACGTTATTCCTACTAGAAAGAACCTTTTTATTATGGAGAACACACTGTTCCCCAAGGGTCATATGTGATGAGATCACATCGTTACAAGGCCACTGGATTGTACACTCTGTGGACACACAAGTGCTTGTGTGGAAAATTTGCAAACCCAGGTTAACAAAACACAGTAGCCTGTTTATGACTGCTTCTCTTTCTCTCCTTTTCATTCTGTGTCACTTTCTCACATGGTCTTTCTCCCTTTTTTAAAAATTATGATTTTTAAAGCTTGTCAGTGCACAGTTACTTTAAAAAATAATGTCCTCACGTGCCTTCCTCTCCCAACATCAATGCATCACTGAGAGTAACGTGCTACAGCAGCATCAAATCAAATACCATCTCTTAAACTCGACAATTAACTGTGATTACACTATGTCCTAGAGGGTTTGAGCTACACAAACACACACACAATAATATCTTGCTCTCGGACACAAAAGCACACACAATACACACTTGTCTGATTATGGCAGTGCCTCGGAAAACAGAGATAACATAATGGGGCTGCAAATAACTGAGTTGAGAGCCTTGTTTGTTGCTTCTAAGCAGTTGTGCAGTTGCGTGCGTGTGGCTATGGCGACTGTCCTGGAGGCTCTTACCACAGATGAAGGATGTGAGGGTTGGTTCTGGAGATGAAGACCAGGCCAGCAGACTTGTCTTCGTTCATGGATCCAGTTTAACTGTGGCCACTTTAGAACAACATATAAAACACCACAGTGGCTGAAAACTAACAAAATATGAAGTTATATAAGATGTTACCTACTTTGATGGAGCTTTCAGGGATGTCTAGCCATTAGCTATTTAAATTGCTGTTTTCTCTGACATTTTGTCTTGATGGCAACCAGTCATTTCTTCAGCATCTGGACTTCATTCTCTATCTTGACTTCTCCGTCAGTTTGTGGGCGATTGTTTACATAGCAGGTTTTGTGTTCCTCCGTGACTTTGAAGATTCATAGATGGAAAGGGATGAGAAAGGCCTATAGGCATCTGATGTGATAACAACCGAGAGATCCAAAGCTCAAGACTGTGATCTCATACTTACTTATGATGGTACTCTCTTGATCTATGATCTTTATTGAGATTTCGATGCAATTTTTTCGAAGCAGCGTGGTCTGCCAAAAGCACTTCGGCTTTGCTGACACAGACTCACATATTGCCCTTGACAGGAAGTTAGAAAACTGTTGGGGTAGTAAATTGCTTGGCAAATCTGAGATGACTGTCATCAATATTAAAATGGCAAGGACTGAGCGATGGCGCCTGCAGGTGGGCTGCAGGGCTTAGTTTCTGTATTCAAGGGAGAAAAAACTGAATACGTTACTTGTTACGCCATCATTCCTTGTTGGGTAGCTGGCACATACATTGTATTCATAAATTATTCAGACTCCTTCACCTTTTCACATGTTTTTATATTGCAGCCTTATGCCAAAGTCATTTAAATTCACTCCCCCTCATGTCACAACCTTATAAACCATAAAGACAATATAGAAATGGACAGAAACAACTGAAATACCACATTGCCATAATTAAGCTGAACCTTTCCTCTGTACTAGGTTGCAGCACTTTTGGCAGCACTTGCAGCCTCAAGTCTTCTTGCGTATCACAACCCAAACTCTGCACACCTGGATTTTGAGATTTTCTGCCATTCTTCTCTGCAGATCCTCTGAAGCTCTGTCAGATTGGATTGAGACCAGTGGATCAAACAGAGGACAGACGTTTTCAGGTCTCTCCTGTGATGTTTGATTGGGTTCAAGTCAGGTCTCTGGCTAGGCCCCTCAACGACATTCACAGAGTTTTCCCTGAGCCTCTCCTGCATTGTCTTGGATGTCGGATTGGGGGTCATTGTCCTGTTGGAAGGTGAACCATCATTCCAGTCTGAGATCTTGAGTACTTTGGTCTTTGTTAAAGATATCATATTGTACTCTTCTTCTTCTTCTTCTTCTTCTTCTTCTTCTTCTTCTTCTCACAACCCTGATCAATCTCTTTGTCCCTGCGACTAAAAAACACCCCCATTTGCAGAGATGCTGCCACCACAATTGGGGTTGATAGTGGGCAGGTGATGAATGCCAAAAAGTTCAATCTTTTTTTCATCAAACTAAAGAATCGCCGCCTGTGAGTTATGTCCTGCCGGAATTGTTGTCCTTTTTGAAGTAGGATCTCTGGAGCTAAGCCAGAGAGACTATCCTATATATAGCTGTGTGTCTTTTAAAATCATGTCCAATCAATTGACTTTAGTGCAGGTGGAAATCTCAAAGATGATCATCAATTACATTTTTTTCCCTTTTTAATACATTTCCAAAGGCTGTAACACAAAAAAGAGAAGTTAAAGCCCTGAAAGAGGTTATACAGTAAGTGCATAAGGAATGTCCAAAGAAAACCAATTTTATCTTAGCAAGGTGTTGGGCCACTACAAACCACCAGAACAAGTTCATTTCTGGATCTCTCCGGAGGTTCTGGCACCATTCTCCCCAAGAGGCATTCCCTCATTTCTCAGGTCTGAGATTACATAAAAATTTGAGCCAAAATTGAATTTTTTAAAAAGTAGAGGCAAGATGAAGTACTGCTCTCCCAGACTTTACTGCATTACCATGTTGTCAAGCCCTTGGAAAAAAACCTGCTATGCAAATGACTCTGTGTTATTTGTAGTCGTTAGTTTTATCAGAAACCAACATCATTGGTTCCGTCTTGGTAAAAGTTCACTTTTCTCTTTTGTTGTTTAATTTAATCATGTTTCCATGTTCATGGCTCACAGGTCTTTGGTAGAGTTGGACTGGAGATGTGCCTCCCTGATACAGAACAATGCTAAAGTGTGTGCGAGTGCGTCGGGGGGAGGGGTGGAAATGTGGATTGTGCATCATTTCCCTCTGATCTAGTGAACAATTCCTGTATTGGCTTTGTGTATCTGTTTTGTTTGATGTCTAAAGACAGCGCTGATTTTGTGTGTGTGTCTGACTGCGTGTGTCTGAGAGAGGGAGAGTAAAGCGGGCAGCAGCGATAGGGATCTTTGCGGATGCAAGAAAGCAATAACAGCACAAGAAGGCACTTGAGGAGAAAGAGAGATCATGTATCTGCACGAAATCTCAAGTGCTATGTACTTTTGTGCGTGCGTGTGTGTGGGCAAGGGGTATGTATTTCTATTTTAAAACACACAACCCAGGCATGGGGGGGAACTGAGACACATCATTTATCTATTTTATAATACCACTGTGAATAGTGATCTCAATATGCAGGACTAGTGTAAGAGAGCTGAACTTTTTTTTTGCTTGTCTTTTAAATCTTCATGTACCAGAGGAAAACCAGGCAGGATGGATGAATGCTCCCACACTCAAATCACTGCTAATGGAGGGTCCAGCAACACTGGAATAAACTGTTAGTACCATAAACACATACTGAACCTGTGCACACAGTAGCTTAGTAGCCTGAAGTCCACCCTGCAGAATGTAAACGTGTGCTAGATCTTTGTGAGGTTGACATACATTCATTTTTGGGTCATGGAGTCCCAGCAATAAATTACAGAGGCAGAAACTTCAGTGTATGGAAGACAATTAGTGCCGGCAATACGCTTGTCTGGTTTCCCCTTCTGAATCTCTTCAGTTCGACACTGTTTATGCGCTAAAAGAGAAAGAATTGCCTAAATCAATTCTGAAGCGCAATTTGCCTAATTCATCTATACTATACATGTCGTTTGGTATATACTTAGAAGTTTGAATCAAATGTTGGAATGTCAAGTTTATGCTGAACATTTTGATCTGCGAAAATGTCCTTTTAGCTCGGCTTTATTCTCAACATTCTGACTTATCAAATTACAAAATGGAAAACAATCTCTTCATCGCTTCT